ATAAATCTGTGTAAATTGGATAGTAAACATAATAAACTGTGGTAAACACGATAGTAAATTGTAAAGGTAAAAAAGAAAAGGAAAAAAATCGGTAGAGGTCGCTTTTATATAAGACTCACAAGTGCAGTGCTGTTTCACGTTATAAACAAGGAAGTTTAATACTCGGGTACGTGTAGAAAGTTCCTGTGTATAGAATCGTACGATGTAAGCAAAATATGAATGGATGAAGAAGTATAAATCCAATCGGAACAAATTGAAAGAATATAATCACCTGTAAGTAAACAATATTACTTGAATTAATTAATTTAGTAGATAAATANTTACAAGATATATTTTTGGGGGCTTTTTTTTCAATAATAAGCGGTATTAAAAATATTATTTTCATCCTTTTGAATATTTATAATTTAAATAATTTTACTTACAGGTATTTCAGTTAATGAAAATGGGTAGATCAGGATATACATGTATCCGCCATTCACTTTGCATAATTAATTTGCTCTTTTGGGTAAGTGGAAAACTTGTTTTGATTATTATTATTATTATCGTTATTGTATTTATATGGCAATATTTAAGTAATTGAAATTTTAGGTGGTCGGTTGTGGAATGCTTGGAATTGGAATTTGGTTACATATAGTTTATGGCGGATACGCTACTTTATTGCCATCCTACCAAATAATTAGTGCTGGTAGCTTATCAATAGCATCCGGAATAATTACGTTTATTGTCGGTTTTCTTGGATGTTGCGGTTCCTGGTTCCAAAATAAATGCCTTTTAGTTTCGGTAAGATCTGAAATTTAAAGAAAATTTATGTTTAAAATATTATTATTTTCGTTTAAAAAACATATATATTATTTTGAATTGCAGTATTTTATATTAGTAATATTAATTTTTCTACTTGAATTTACCGCTGGAACACTTGGGTTTATATACAGAAAACACGTGAGTAGTTTATATATATATTATTAATATTATTAATTATTTAAGAAATTAATCATGGGCTAACATTTAGGTAGGTGAAACGCTTAGAGACGAATTATTAATGGGTATTCAAGAAAAGTACAAAGTGAATGATGTTAATGGTTTAACAGAAGCATGGGATCATATTCAATTAAAGGTAAATTGAATTAAAAATTTATTAATTTAATTATGAAATTATAATATGTATTTTTAAAAATATATAGTTTGAATGTTGCGGAGTTAATGGAATTAATGATTGGTATAATATCAATGCATGGCCCGAAAAAACTTGGGTGCCAACATCTTGTTGCATTGAAGCGTATAAAAATGAAACTTGTGGCATGAGAAATGAAACAGAAATATGGCACAATCAGGTTGGTATATTAAAGTTAAGGAGAAATATATTTAAAATATCCAAAATTAATTAATTACTTTTTAATGGTGACAGGGTTGTTATCAGAGGATGCACATGTGGTTAATGGAACAATTGTACATAGTTGCAATTATATGTATGTTGTTTGCATTTATTCAGCTATTTGGATTAATATCAGCTATGTTATTAGTATGCAGAATAAATGAAAAAAGATACGAAAGATGATTAACAACATGAAAATTTGAAAGAATTTTAATATATTAAAAGCTTTTAAATAATTTTACTTACAGGTATTTCAGTTAATGAAAATGGGTAGATCAGGATATACATGTATCCGCCATTCACTTTGCATAATTAATTTGCTCTTTTGGGTAAGTGGAAAACTTGTTTTGATTATTATTATTATTATCGTTATTGTATTTATATGGCAATATTTAAGTAATTGAAATTTTAGGTGGTCGGTTGTGGAATGCTTGGAATTGGAATTTGGTTACATATAGTTTATGGCGGATACGCTACTTTATTGCCATCCTACCAAATAATTAGTGCTGGTAGCTTATCAATAGCATCCGGAATAATTACGTTTATTGTCGGTTTTCTTGGATGTTGCGGTTCCTGGTTCCAAAATAAATGCCTTTTAGTTTCGGTAAGATCTGAAATTTAAAGAAAATTTATGTTTAAAATATTATTATTTTCGTTTAAAAAAC